GCAATCATTGTAGTTGCCCTCACCAGCTCGCAGCAGCGCCTCCGGTCGACTCTTAGTTTTGCATGCCGTTATAGTAGTGCCTTCCGCCAGTTCCAACATGCCTGTGCTTGCAGCATTGTCGCTAGCCGGTATCTCGGAGCACTGTCGTCGGTCGTCCCAACATGCCCGTGCTGGGGTCACAACACTACCATCGGCCGATCCCAACATGCATGCGTCAAAGCCTTCAAACTGATCTAGGCCAAATTGACTGGTCCAAATTAAAATTTCAGTCGATTGACTCCTAGCCATTCCCTTTGTTTGTAGTACGGGTCTTTTTGTTGCTTGTGTAGGTGTCGTTTTTTTTACCTGGTGTATAATATCTAGTCAATTCCTGGGAAAAAGAAGTTGCACATCTTCAAAATGATGTAACTGGTGTTATTAGTAGTGCATCATGCTACCTTTTTTTTGTGAAAAAACAAACTCGAGCATGTATGAAATGAACACAATTTGCAGCTCACTGAGCATCAAGAACGTAGATCTCTGGCTTTACTTTGCGGATTAATCTTTTCTACTGCATTTTGGTTTTCCCATGATTTTAGACTCATAGACGTACTATGTGGATTAGAATTTGTTTGACTTCCGATTGTTGCAGATTCCAAAACAGGCTTTCCAGAATCCCAATTCATTTCCCATTCTTCAGTGCTACGTTCCCTTGCTAATAGTTTTAATATTCCTAGCTAGTCTTTTTGCGTCAAAGAAAAGTTTTAAAAGCTGTTCGGCAGTCCTCCAACTCTCTGAAATCTCAGAATCTATGGAGCTCCTTTTTCCCGCTCCGTCATTTTCAACTACAGCTCCACCAACTCCAGGAGCACACTTAGGGAGCGGAGATTCTCCATACATGCCCTTAATATCCCTAGTCAGTTGTTCTTTTCCTTAATATTCCTAGCCAGTTTTATTCTTTTGCATGATAGTACATGTCTCATTTATATCATAAAGATTATAGTACAAGCCAAGTACGCACCTACCTGGCAAAACTAAAAAAATAACATTAACGCTAGCCTTTACACAAAGGAACACCAATCAAGAAGTAAAAAAACCAATCAAGACCGAAGAATCCTTCGAGCTTAAAACCAACGCCCTTCACGCGCCTCTGGCACCACCACAAAGAAAAAAAAAACCTGAGCTTGATGCGGCTGATCACTGTAAATTGAGAGGAGAGTGACATCCTTACCAGGTTTGATATAATCATAGTCCGTAGACTGGTCAACCTGCGAGTACGCGAAACTGGTACTTAACCAATAAGTGTGTTTTCCCCGACCACCCTCATCAAGACCCGACCTAGCGAATATTTTTGTAACACGGTACAATCGAAGTTGCTTACATACACAAGTACACACTCACCCTTATAAACGCACGCACGCACACACATTATATCCCTATGAGCACCTCCGAGAGACTGAGCCGGCGCATAATCTTGAGATTGACGAAGTCATCACAGATGCCTTTATAGTGAACGGGAATGTCTCCTCCTACTGAACACACATTGCCGGAAGGCCTGGAATAAATTCAGGAAAATGCGAGCACCAAGTCAAGCCTGGGACTTGAACTCTAGTGGTCAGTAGATATCACTGTCCTCCTAACCATCCAACCATAGGTTAGTTCGCAACCTAGAGGATATCGATATGACGATGAGCAACAACCTGGGCGCTTGGGGAGAAAGATGAATGCTAGCCTTTGGATTTTTGGAAATTCGATCGATCCTATTTTTTAGGTGTATAATGTATAATCGGCCCCTTAATTTTCACTAACGTGTGAAATGCTCCCTCTGTAAAGAAGTGATACAAAACTCTTATATTACTTTACAAAGGGGTATATAGCAAAGGTCATATAAATAGAGGATCTAGCTTTGGGCTTCTTTTCTTGTTCTTCTACTGTTTATACCTTATTCATGTGTTTTGGGCATCTATTTATACATCACATACTTGTTTACACATTATTCATGTCTTTATGCATACCAAACGATTTTCGTTGAGCAACCTTTGGATGAATAAACCTTTGTGGTCTTGCTCTTTGCTGTAGACATACGACGCGCTGGTGGCGGACATGACCATCACGGCGAAGCGGTCGGAGCACGTGGACTTCACAATGCCTTTCATCGCCACGTCTATCACCATGATTGTACCGCTACGTGACCAACGGAGCAGCAACAAGTGGACGTGGGTCTTCCTCAAGCCGCTCCGCTATGACCTCTGGCTCGTCAGCGCCGCCTTCTTCATCTTCACCGGTTCCGTGGTCTGGGCCATCGAGCGCCGCGACAATGAGAGGTTCGGCGGGACGCAGTCGAACCAAGCGGGCACCATGCTCTACTTTGGCTTCTCCACCCTCGTCTTCACCCACAACGAGAAGCTCAAAAGCAACCTGTCGAGGGTGGTGGTGGTGGTGTGGGTTTTCGTGGTGCTCATCCTGCAGTCCAGCTACACCGCGAGCCTCACCTCCCTGCTCACGGTGCCGCAGGTCGGGCCGACCATCCCGGACTACCGCGCGCTGCTGCTGGGCACGGAGAAGGTGGGGATCCTCAACAACTCCTTCACGCCGCAGGTCATAAACCAGTCTGGGCTCCCGCAGGACAGGGTGGTGCGGTACCGGAACGCGGAGAGCTTCCAGGAGGCGTTGTTGAACGGTAGCATCGGCGCTGTTATTGACGAGACGCCTTACCTCAACATCTTCCTCCAGACCTACCGGGACAACTTCACCGTGACTGGCCAGGCTAACATGACCAGCGGCTTCGCGTTCGCGTTCCCCAGGGGGTCGCCATACGTGACGGACCTGTCACAGGCGATCCTGAACCTCACCGAGAGCGGCGAGATGAACAGGATCGAGCGCAAGTGGCTCGGCGACCCGGATGACTACAGGTCACAGGGCGGCGGGCCGTTCACGACGAACCATCTCAGCTTTAGCAGCTTCCGAAGCCTGTTCGTCATCACCGGCGCCACCTCGCTCATTTGCCTCTCCATCCACCTCGCTTTCTTCCATAAGGAGGGCTACTGGCTGCCCATCCCGCAGATCATGTCACGCCCATCGTGGAAGGTCAGGCTCCGGATGTTGGCCAAGCTCTTTGACAGAAAGGTCTACAGCGAAACTATGCCCGGCCGGAACCAAAAGGATGAGGGAGCGGTTGCCTCCCCTCATACCTCGGACGATGTGAGCATCGTTGGCAGGCTGCCCAGTGCGCCACACCCCAAAGAGGGGTCTGTTGAGATGGCGACCCAGACAACTAGTGAGATCGAGCCGGTCGCCGGTGGCTAGGCGGCAGCGGAGGTAGCTCGTGCTCGTCACACTAACCGGCTAACGGCTATGGAAAGAATGCCAAGAAACCCGGCCAATGACTGAGCAACTACTTCAAACTGCCATGCTCCAAAGTACTCCCATTAATGTTAAAAAGAAGTCTTACATTATGGGACGGAGGGAGTATATTTCTCGTAGTTAAACGACAAATGACAACAATTATTTGATGCCTTGTGAACGCATATTAAAGACTTTGTACAAATTTTTTTCCTAACTTGTAAGAAAAAGAAATTAGTAGTGGGGACTTTTCTTTTAGGTGGATTTGTATTGAACCATCATTGTACTTATCTCCTTTGTTTCAAATTAATTGAAATTATTTGATGTTGTAAATATTACAAATTTAGTTCTATATTTTCCTCTATCGAGTTGAAGAAATTCAGTTATTGACTAGTCGGTCCCGAAAGAGAAAATTCTAGTGCCACTCGGGGCAGACCCTAGGTAACAATCAATTCCAGGGCATTTTTGTCCCTTGCTTTCTTCTTCTAAATCTGTACTCCCTCCGTGACGTTTAAGTAATTCAATCAGTACACTACAACAAAAATGAAAATTTTATAAATATACTCCGTGGAAGGAGTTCCCACAAGTTCGCCTACCAAAATACTCAAAGGTTTTTTTATGGTGTGGTTGATTGCTGATGTTGATGCTGCTCCAGAAAAGGCTGGCTATTAATTCACGGCCAACCATCAGTGGCGGAGCCAGGAATTTCCTGCTCGGTATTCCTTGATATTCATTTGTGCGATACAGTAGCAATATGGCAACAAATATGCAGCAAGCTAGCAGTAGTATATCAATGGATCAGTAATTCTTTGGTATTTCATAGAAGTCCAGGGAAGACCCCTGGCTCCGCCACTGCCAACCATGGCAATCATCCGGTGTTGGATGGAGGAGAGGGGGCGGACTAATGGTCGGATCAGCAACTTAATTTGAACGCCCACGCGGCTTCTGTGCCGCTGCAGCCACACCTAAAAATGATGACATGGATCATTTCATCACCTTGGTGTAACGTGTGAATTACCTATCACAGTAGATTTCTACTATCGTGTTATATTAAAAAGACCCACAAAAATTATATTTAAAAATACAATTTGCACTTCTTTTTTTGAAATATCATGAGTTTTTCATCATCAAACTAAAAGCAAGCTTTTCTTAACTGATTGGGACTTGAGAAAATCTTGACTGGGGCGTAGACGGACGACCCTGGATAACTAATCAGAGCACGGCATCGATCTCGGCCGAGCAAAAGTACGACAACTATACCCACGCCGAATTCCACGATGCATGGTCGGCGGCAACAGTGCCATTGTCACACACAAACACAAGAGATAACCGATTGAGAGCGATGGAGCTTGGAGGGAGGAAGATGCATGGTAAGATCGAGCAGCGGGTCAACCGCACGCACGCGCTCGATCAACAAGCAAACGTATTACCTGTCACCGTGGCGCGTACGTACGTAGTATTCCCTCCGTTCCTAAATACTTGTCTTTCTAGAGATTTCAACAAGTGACTACATACGGCGTAAAATGAGTGAATCCACACTTTAAAATATGTCTACATACATCTGTATGTTGAGTTCATTTGAAATGCCTAAAAAGACAAGTATTTGGGAACGGAGGGAGTACGTTGCATGTAAAGGCAGCCACTAAGCAACTCTAAAAGGAGAAGTCGTTTCATTCATCAAACGTAGCAGCGAAGCCTTCTTCGGCCAGGCATCCATCGATCCATGAAGGCAACGACGAGGACGCTTCTCCGGGTCCTCCGCCGCCGCCACGGCCTCCTCCTCGCTCTGGTGCTTCTCGTCGGCGCTGCTTCCGGTGTCGCGGCGCAGGGGGGCGATGCGGTTCCTCGCCGGCGGCCGCGGACGGTGGACGTCGGGGTGATCCTGGACAGGACGACATGGGTGGGGAACATGAGCTGGACGTGCATGGAGCTGGCCATGGAGGACTTCTACGCCGACGAGGACCAGGCCGGCTACAGCGCCAGGCTGAGGCTCCACCTCCGGGACCCCGGCCCCAACGCCGTCGACGCCGCTGCCGCAGGTACTCAAACCCGAGCATTAAAAATAGCTGATCATGCATGCATATATCCTGGCCTAGGCATCCCCTTATCCTCCATGGCAAACAGAGAAAAGGCTTACCCCCTCGCGCCGACCATCCAGCTCTGTTGATACTGCACAGGGTTGTGTCTCCCCACCATTTTGCATCCATCTGTTGCTGTTTTCTCGTTGGCTCAAAGCAAAAGCACTGTACTCCCTCCGTTTTGTTTATTTTTATTAAACGTGACGTGAGCAGTTTCATATCTCAAAAGATTGGATGCGGTCACCGCAACGCAGAGTGGACACAGATGGCCCTCGGGCTCCATGGAGCCCTTTGTTCTCAAACATTCAAATGTCAACTTTCTAAGCTAAAAAAAAATACACAAGTACTTATAGATGTATGCTAGATATGTGCAAAATTTCGTTACCAAATACGCTTTTATGTGGCATGTACAGAAATAATCATGTACTTTTATAGTGTACATGTGCTAGAAATACGTTATTTTCATTCTTGTGCAGCTTGCATAAAAAAGTATATCGGCATGAAACTTAGCAGACAAAAGTAGTATACATCTATGTAATGAGTATTTTTTAAAAGAATTCTTTTAAACTTAAAATTTTGAATTTTTCAAATAAAGAGCTCCATTAGGCATTTCCCCAACGATTAGACCTATGCTTCATGCACAAATGTTTCTTCATGTTAGTCCCTTCGTCTACTCTACGGATCATATCCCCTTTCCTCTAGTCTACTGATCTCAATCGAGTCTTGATTCAGTCAAGGTCGGCCCTAGCATTACGAAGGTTGTAGTGCGAATGAGCTCCAGTGGTGCACTGCCCTCATTTCGTGGTGCCGTGGTGAGACGGCGTTGGGGCCTCATGACCGTGTTGGCGCAGGGTGGTGGTTGGTTTGGTGGATGAATCCGGAGCGCCCGAGGTGCGGGTTGGGATCGGGGGAAACCCCTGTCGGCGTGGCCGACACCGGCGCAGTGGCGCTTGAGGGTGCCACCTGACCTTCCGGGAGGGCGTCTGGGGCTACCCTGCCTCTCGCCTCGTCGTGTATCGGGGGAAACCCTTGGCAGTAGCGTCGTCATCGTCGCGATCCTTCTTGGAGGTGTTGATAGGTGCCGGCGCTTCGGTGGCTTGGAGCCTAGGGGTAGATTCCGGTGGGCGCAGCGATCGCGAGGCTTCTTCGTTTTTGTTGATCCGTCGTTGTCAGCATTTGTTTCTTTTGCTCTTTCTCTGTCGTTTCTTTTGGGCGTGTCTGTGCTGCTTCCGCCCCAGCACCTATCCCTGTATGGTTCGGTTGGTTGCTTTGTATACAAAGCGGGGGAAACCCTTTTTCGGTAATGAGCTCCAGTGGACCTAACAGCTATAAGGGAGTAATATAAATACTTTCATCAGTAGCATATCATGATATTATTATTGACATAAATATTAAAAATATATTTTTAATAAATAAATAAATAAAGTGCTAATAGACCATGTATATGTGATTAAATGATGCCAATAATAATTATAATATACATGTTCTCAAACATAAATAATATTGAATAAATACAACACAGTAAAGTGTGTGTGGGGGGGGGGGCAAATGCCCTCTGTCCACCCCATAATAGTATTGACGTTATGTTCTGCAAATCATATTTTTATAATTTTTTTAGCTATATACTCCCTCGATCGATTTACTCTGCGTATAAGGTTTGACTCGTATACAAGGAAAGCATTGATCCCATTTGGAAACCAGTTTTAGTACATAAATAGATGACCAACCGAAGAGAAAGTGCATATGTTGCGACATATGTGCATAGTTAAGGGGAACAGACGTTGTGTCAATAGATTTGACAGAATTGTATGGAAATGCTTTGTTAGGAAAGCTCAGAGACCACTTTTATGGGTTTTCGGTTCTTGTATGATTTTGTTCCCACCATGACAAGTGATGTTAACTCTTAATATCACCATAAGTACATGAAGTTGCGCGATATTAACAAGTGCATACATACATAAACTTTAAAAAGCCATAAAAGTGGTTATTGAACTCCTGATGTGGTAACAGTTTGGCATACCTGCCCTGCAACTGCTACCAAATTGAACACCATGTCATCAAGTGACACGTGACACGTACTTGTGCTGTTTTTTCTTCTTCACAAAACCCACTCGCATTATTTTGTAAATGCATTATAAGGTCATGGGTTCCCCATTCCCCAATTATCCACCCGAGTCCAAATCCGCATGATCTCAGGTACTTACCATAATCATGTTTGTTCCCCTAAATCATATCACATATAAACCACAAAACCAATTTCCCCTAAATATTTTTTCACTAATTTGGCCTAAATCAAATTTCTAAACTAATTCCCCTTAAAGCCAACCACCACATCCAACGGATCTAGCCAAAATCAATATGTTATGCGGGTACATATAGAAAGTTTTGAATGCAAAATAACTGATCTCGGCGCATGAACCACTGAGAACATGAACTGATCATGTGTGAATATAAAAACTAACGAATTCGAGGCACCGGGCTCTCGATGGAAACGGCCAGATAGAGGACATACCGTACTTCAAAGGGAAGGTGCTATGATCCCGGGGGATCAGCTTCATGTTGCCAAGGTCGATACCGGCCATCCCCAACATGTTGTCGCCCAACTATCGACTATAGCTGGCCAAACGGGCCGGGATAGTTGGGCCGGCCCGGTAGCACGGCCGGCACGGCACGGGCCTGGCATGGCACGACACGTGCTAAACGGGCCGGGCCCGGCACGCGGCACGCCATGGGCCGTGCCTGGGCCTGAAGGGCGAGCACGCGGGCCGGCACGGCACGGCCCGATTAACTTTTTTATATTTTTTTATGTATTCTAATATGGGCCAACAGGTAAAAATAGGCTAAAAAACGCTCAATGCGCAAAATAGGAGATAGATTAGTGGGCCT